TTCTTCTTCTTCTTCTTCTTCTTCTTCTTCTTCTTCTTCTTCTTCTTCTTCTTCTTCTTCTTCTTCTTCTTCTTCCTCTTCTTCCTCCTCCTCCTCCTCCTCCTCCTCTTCCTCCTCTTCTTCCTCCTCCTCCTCCTCCTCTTCTGCCATATCCGTCATCGGATGTTGGCGATCATGTTGGCAATCCTATTTTTGTCAATAGTTGCATGAAAAAGTGAGTGCTGAGTTTTGTCCAGTCCCTTAGGTTTTGAAGCCTTCGTAGTTTTGGGTATATCATGCTTCCAGAGGACCGGGACAGTCTTCGCACTCCTGCCCTATTTAAGGGACGCCCGTGTTTGGGGCCATTGTTAGGTTTTGCCACATTATTTTCCTGGAAAATATATAGGGTAGTAGTCTTCCCTTTGCTTTCTACACTGCTGTGCACACACTATTCATCTATCTGATTTAGATGAATATAAATCACTGGGACTTGACAGATTATATCCCAGAGTTCTGAAGGAGCTGGCAGACGTTATTTCAGAACCATTGTACCATATCTTTCAAAAATCCTGGAGCACAGGGGAAGTACCTGAAGATTGGAAAAGGGCTGATGTGGTTCCCATCTTCAAGAAAGGGGAAAAAACAGACTCAGGAAATATAGACCAATCAGTCTAACATCAATAACTGGGAAGATCCTGGAAAAGATAATAAAAAAACAGATCTGCGAACAACTAGAAGCAAATAAAGTTATAACTAGTAGTCAGCATAGGTTTTTTAAAAACAGATCATGCCAACCCAATTTTATTTCATTCTTTGATAAAGTCACTAAATTAGTAGACCAGCAAAATGCCTGTGAACATAGTATACTTAGATTTCAGTAAGGCATTTGACAAAGTAGACCACAATCTACTTCTGGTAAGCTAGAAAAATATGGAATAGACAATATAACCACCAGATGGATTTGTAGCTGGCTGACAAACCATAGTCAATGAGTAGTCCTTAATGGTACTACATCCACATGGAGAGAAGTAAGCAGTGGGGTACCACAAGGCTCCATCTCAGGTCCAGTACTCTTCAATATCTTCATAAATAACTTAGATGAAGGAATAGAAGGGGAACTCATCAAATTTGCAGATGATATAAACTGGCAAGTATAGCCAATACCCCAGAAGACAAGCTCAGGATCTGAAAAGATCTTGACAAACTTGAACAATGGGCCCTATCCAACAAAATGAATTTTAATGTGTAGAAAAGCAAAGTATTATATTTAGGCAGGAAAAATCAAAGGTATAAGTACAGATTAGGTGACACCTGGCTCAAACACAGTAACTGTGAGAGGGACCTTGGAGTCCTAGTGGATAATCATTTGAATATGAGCCGGCAGTGTGCAGCAGCAGCCAAAAAAGCTAATACAATCCTGGTGTCTATAAACAGAGGGTGCAGAATCAAGATCATGTGAAGTACTAGTACCATTTTATAAAACCTTAGTAAGACCACATCTGGAATACTTCAACCAATTTTGGTCACCGTATTACAAAAAAGATGTTTAGACTTTAGAAAAAATTCAAAGAACAACAACTAAGACGATCAAAGGCCTAGAGACTAAAGCATATGACGAACAGCTGGTTTTGGGTTTGGCTAATCTAAAGAAAAGAAGAATTAGGGGTGACAGGATAGCAGTTCCAGGGGCTTGAGGGGCTGCCACAAAGCACAGAGGATCAAATTATTCTCCAAAGCACTGGAGGGCAGGACAAAAAACAATGGTTGGAAATTAATCAAAGAGAGAAACAACCTGGAATTAAGGAGAAACTTCCTAACAGTGAGGACAATTAACCAGTGAAACAGCTTGCCTGCAGAAATCATGGGTGCTCTATCATTGGAGCTTTTTAAGAAGAGACTAGACAATCACTTCTCTGAAATGGCATAGGTTCTCCTGTTTGAGTGAGGGTTGGACTAGAACACCTCCAAGGTCTCTTTCCTATTCTAAGTCTAAGTGTTATTGCTATAATACTTTATTAAAAGTATTCATAAAATATTGATTGGATGAATTGCTATATAGGATTTGCTGTACACTATCACATTCTTTTGGACCCAGACAGTAGTACTTATTACATTTAAATGTATCTGTCTACTGAGGCAGGCTAGATTTAGCTTCAAACGGAAAGGAAGCATATCTTTTATGTCAAAATCAGTTGTTTGAAAAAAGCAATATAAAGCTGCTACAGTAGAACATATGTAGAAATGAATAGAACTTTTGTCCATTGTCCTTTTTTTTCTACCAATTTTCAAATTTCTTTTGAACAAGGTGCTAATTAAATCATGGCAATCAAGACCAGGCAAAATTATCAGATATAAACTAGATTTGTTAATATATTCATGGTGCACAATTGCTAAATTTAATTTGAACTGACCTTTATATTGGTTATATTAATTCTATTAATAATTTTAATTAAATACAAATATTCATTTTGTTAATAATTAATTGGTTTTACATACCTAGAGTTTAAGGTTTTATAATTTTAAAAGAATCTGTTTTTAGAGAAAAAAGAACTTTCTTATCTATATTTGCTGCTCATATGACCAGAAACATCACATAATGATGTTTATAATAATAAGCAGCAAATAAAAATAAAAAACCAATGGCAGTAAAGAGCTGTTTCCTGTAAATCAAAATTGAGAGTAACATTAATTTAAAGGAGAAGGGTAAAGAAAAGAAAATAATTTTAGACATTATGTTTTATATATTTTCCCCTTTAATAATGGATGTTCTTGCAAAGTCACAAATCTTGTGCTTTCCTGTCTTAAATAGAGTAATTCTTAGAGTTTGTTATCCTAAATGAAGCCAAATATTTATCAATTCATTCAACTCTCCATGATAAAGTTTTATCTAAATCAGTCACTATTATTTATTTAATTATCTGATTGCTGAAACAAACCATCTCTACAAGTGACATGGGACAGCATTCATTACAAAATATAAAAACACATAAAATATTGAAATAATTAAAGCAGTACAAAATAAATATATACAACACCAAGCAAAACTATTACTATTGATAAAAATACATGCCCTTAACACATTTGAAATTCCAAGCCTGGGCCCATGACCAAGTCTTCATGAGCTTATGAAAGGCCGTTGGAATCATTCTTGTATCTGGAGAAAATTCCAGAAGACAGGGGCTACAGCAGAGATGGCACATTTCCTGATTCCCAAACCCAACATTCCTTGATAGGATCCACACAACACGCCCAACATGCCTGACCAAATTGGGCTAGTAGAAATAACTGGAAGAAGATGGTCCCTTAGTATCCTTAATGTTTATGTTATGTTAATGTATGTTTATCCATCTATTTGAAACAAATGAATAACAATACATAATCCTACTTACTATAATGTTTTAGTAAATTAATGCATTTACTTGAAATTGGCTAACTGATTTGACGCAAATTCCCTATTTAAACCTTATAGCAGCAGTAGCAGTTACTTATATACCGCTTCATAGGGCTTTCAGCCCTCTCTAAGCGGTTTACAGAGTCAGCATATTGCCCCCAACGACAATCCGGGTCCTCATTTTACCCACCTCGGAAGGATGGAAGACTGAGTCAACCCTGAGCCGGTGAGATTTGAACCGCTGAACTGCTGATAACAGTCAGCTTGAAGTGGCCTGCAGTACTGCACCCTAACCACTGCGTCACCTCGGCTCTTCATTCTAAATAATCCTTCATTCCAAATAAATAAACCTTCATTCCAAATAATCAAAATTAAAATAAATATCTAAGGGAGAGGTTGTTCATTCATAAAATTACTCTTACAGTAGTCTGAGTATTACTTTTCACAAAACACTTTTATCTTTTTCTAAAAAATAAAATGATGAAGTTGCTGCCTATAATAAATGCATTCTAAAATATCATCTTCTACTTATTATATTTCCTTCCACCATATTTAAAGGAAAATATTAATTGTACCTGTTTTCTTTTAAATTCTACTACAAATTAAAATATTTTAAAATATTACAAATAGAAGGAGACAGGAGATTGGTAAGTACCAAGAATTATTCATGGGCATATTGGTATCCTACAACTAACAGCAATAATATGTTTTATTATGAACATAACTTTTTCTCTCCTTGTTCTTATACCTTCATATTAATAGTTACAATTAGTTTAGTTTAGTTTAGTGTAGAAATTTCCTATACTGCATCAATCACAACAAACCTTAAAATATGTAAATATTTATATAATTTATATAAAAATCTATAATATTTATAAAATATATAAAGCCTTACCGTAAACCTGCATCCTCATAATGGGGATGATTCACAATAGGTCGTTGTGCAGATAATTTTACGCTTGCCATTGTAGGCATTGCACCGGCAAAAACAGCATCTGAAATAACAGGATATCTAAAAATGCAGGAATAATTGGAAAAAGAACTAGAAACTACCATACATTTGTAGGTTGTAAAATTGATTAAAAATCTTATTCTCCCTCCAAACCACAAAAATTAAAAAAATTAAAATAAACATATTATTATAAAGGTTTTCTTTCTATTTAAAACAGGCTATTCCATTAAAAATGAATTTTTAATTCCACAAAATAGTATTTATAAAGACAGTTTTTTCTTAAACTGTATCATTTACATGGCAGTCACAAGAAATCAAGGCATCAGGAAAACCTGTTCAGTGTTAAAAGTGCTAAGCCTTTTACATACTGCATTGCATGGAATAAGATGAGTTGTTCTACTCTGATTTTACCTGGTTTAGTATTTGCTTTTATCCACAACAGTAATTCTTCCTGGGGCAAATTGCTAAATTCTCCCACAATACTCCATTCTTTTTGAAGATTTGCTATTCCCTCAAATGCCATCATTGCCAAAATTGCAAGAACAAGTGTTCCAGGTTGGATTTTGTGAAAAATCCATCCAAACAACTGTGAAAAGAAATGGTTAAGCACTTAATCAAGGTGATTATTAATTTCAGTTTTAAGTTTTAAAACACTACATCAAGCTATTTTAAAACACAGTTCATGCTGATTTAATCATTAAAGTTAATCTCAGTAATTATAAATATTCACATCATTATGACTACTTAATTTTATATTGATTTTAAAAGACTTGAAAACTATCACTAATGCTAATAGAAGAGTGTGTTTCAAAAGTGCTTTTTCAAATGGCAACTGGACTGACTTTATTTTTTCTTGAAGGAAAAACAAAGTTCAATTGCCTTTTAAAAAAAAACCACTTTTGAGACAGCCATGACCTGGATGACTAAGAATCTCTATAGACAAATAGAAGAGAATATAATAACTCAAAATTGAACTGTGTATAGGGTAACCAGACGTCCCGCATTTGGCAGGACAGGCACGCCTTCTCATAATTTTTCCCGCATCCCAGGCCATTCCCAAAAGATCCCGCTTAATTTTGGCGCCTTCGACTCGCTTCCCTGCCCATCCGCTGCTGCTAGCATGGGTGGGGTAGCATAGCGAGTGAGCGGGCGGATGGGTGGGGGAGCAAGCTCGCCTTTCCAGCCCCACTTCCGGACAAGCCATGGGAAAGCCTCTGCGAAAAGAGCCACCTGGGACCGCCGCTTCTTCTCCGAACTCAGAGTAAGTGACGGGCGGGGCGAGTGAGCGGGAGGATGGTGGTGGGATCGCCTCCCGCTGCACTGCAGCTGACTCGCCCCGGGCCGGGTGGGCTGGGAGGTTTTGGGTGTCCGGGCGGGAAGAGCGCGGAGGAAGGCAGAGCAGCGCTCGACGCGACTCTGCTACTTCTGCTGGAGGAGCCCCTAGATAGGGAAGGCGGGTGGCGGAGCGGAGCAAGGGAGCGCAAGCGGCGGATCCTGGGCTCATATGCAGATGGAGCTCTCCAGGCACAGGAGCGCTGGAAAAGTGCTCAGCTCATGCACCCACTGGGACGGAGTACGCTCGCTCGCTCCAGCCCTGCCTGCCGGCATGCTAAAGTACCGGCATGACTTTGAGGTGCTGGCTTGCGCGGAAGGCAAGCCAGCCCTTCAAAGTCATGCCGGCAGTTTAGAACTCGGCCGCCATTCAGCGAAACATGTTTCGCTG